TCTGCTTTTTACTTTCAATCTCTTAAGGACTTCATATCCCATGTGTAGTGCTTTTGGGGTAATGTGGTGCTTTATGAATAAGGAATTATTAATCGTTTCCCATCCACCCTATATCAGAAATACTACTACAGGGCAGCACGGGTGCGCAAAATCACATATATATATGTGATTTCGCATTTCCGGGCAGGGGGTGCACGTGAGCCCCGCGCGCGCGCGCGCCCTACCTGCGCCGCCATTTGCGGGGTCCGGAAGAGCGCATTCACTATATTTGGTCTTCTCGGACCCCACATTCACTATATCCGCTCTTCCCGACCCCACATTCACTATATTTGCTCTCCCAGGACCCTGCATTCACTATATCTGCTCTCCCCAGACCCTGCATTCACTATATCTGCTCTCCCCCGGACCCTGCATTCACTATATCTAGTCTTCCCGGACCCTGCATTCACGATATCCGCTCTCCCCGTACCCTGCATTCATTATATCCGGTCTCCCCGTACCCTGCATTCATTATATCCGCTCTCTCCGTATCCTGCATTCATTATATCCACTCTCCCCGTATCCTGCATTCATTATATCTGCTATCCCCAGACCCTGCATTCACTATATCCGCTCTCCCCGGACCCTGCATTCACTATATCCGCTCTCCCCGGACCCTGCATTCACTATATCCTCTCTCTCCCCAGACCCTGCATTCACTATATCCGCTCTCCCTGGACCCTGTATTCACTATATCTATATAAGGGGTTAATGAATTGGGTGGTGTCTGTCTCCCATATATAATTATAACACAGTGCCTCCAGCCCTTATGGCAAAAAAGGTAATCAATAATATTAAATAATACAGACACCTTGATAAAATATACCACCACAATGTAATTTTTCTGAATTCTTTTACCAATGTGATTTCTTACCAAAATATACAAATATCGCCAATTTGTTTAATAAATAAATAATTTATTTATATACAAAAATATTTCTATATATATTTTAAATACAAACTAATTTACTGGTGATTAGTATTTCCTACACACGATCGAAGAACAAACCACGATAAATTCCAATGAGGTCAGTCATAAAATGTATGCCATAATAAAACCTTGGTTTCTCAGCAATTTCCAAAATATTACATTTCAGCATTCAGTGTATTTTTCCACAATGCTCGCGGCTGAAGAGAGTTAGGAAAAATATTTCTGATATTATACACACTGAAACACTTCAAATGCGTCCTAATGTAGACCATATATGGTTCGAATCCGGAACGATGTTTCGTCCGAAAATCGGAAACGTTCGCTCAGTATTCCGACGGTGCCATCAATGATTTAAAAAATCGTCCAACCGAGTCATAAAGTTCACCCCATATAACAGGCGAAACTTCTGTTCCTTGTCTCGTGCGCATATTCTTTTCGGAAAAACGATTGTACAATTTGACCATTGTTGAGTCGAAAATCGGTAGTTTTTCACAAATTTTCCAGCATGCCCGATCACTGAAAAGGGAAGGAACCACGAAAATCAGCCAGTGCCATTGACCCACTAACAGAGCCAAAATCGGCCAGTGCCATTGACCCACCAACAGAGCCAAAATTGGCCGGTGCCATTGACCCACCAACAGAGCCAAAATTGGCCGGTGCCATTGACCCACCAACAGAGCGAAAATCGGCCGGTGCCATTGACCCACCAACAGAGCGAAAATCGGCCAGTGCCATTGACCCACCAACAGAGCGAAAATCGGCCTGTGCCATTGACCCACCAACAGAGCGAAAATCGGCCGGTGCCATTGACCCACTAACAGAGCGAAAATCGACCGATTATTCTTAGGTCCCATTTTCGGACAAAAAATCGGTCGATTTTCGACCCACATATGGCCGGCCTTAGTCAATGAGTTTACAGCATACCAATATAGAGAGAAAAAAAAAAAAAACTCTATTCTACAACCAACAGAACCCGATACGATCGTTTAGCACCCAATCTCCCTATACACCATCCAATCTTGATGGTTCAACAAGATCTATACAAATACGAAATAGTTAGCAGTTTATATCACCATGCATGGTACCAGCACTACAGCTCAATGAAGATAGTTATAAAGTTCTAGTAAAAACTTTGGTATGAATAAAAGTTGTGATACTTTGGCCACAATATCTCCCCACTCCCAGGTATAGCGATCTTTGAGATTTTGGGTGGAACAGCAGGCGGGTGAAAAGTGTTGTTCCTCAGCTCCAATCAGAAAAAGTTCTCTTTTTAGTAAGCCAGCAAAAGGTCTTTCTCTTTTAACTGCTTCCCAACTGCCCTATAGCAGAAATACTGCTACAGGGCAGCACGGGTGTGCAAAATCACATATATATACAAGTGATTTAGCATCTGCGGGTAGGGGGTGCGCGACAGCTGCTATTTGCGGCCGTGGCTGACAGTCACCATGTCCCGCCTGGTGATTGCAGAGGATCTTTTGTAAGCAAAACAGTTCTCCTCCCTGTTGGTTTGTGCACACTGCACAGCGCAGCCATACAAAGCAGTGTGATTACAGTGAAGCACACAGACTCCGCCCCCTAGTAAAACATTCCCAGCACCCAGTTAACCCTTTGATCACCCCAGATGTTAACCCCTTCCTGCCCAGTGCCATTAGTACAACACCAGTGCTTTTGTTTTAGCACTGATCACTGTGTGGTGTCACTGTCAGTGTCAGAATGCCCGCTGCAGTCCCGCTATAAGTTGCTGATCGCAACAAGTAAAATATTTTAAAAAAAAAGCCCAGTATATATACCGCCATTTGTAAACGCTACGAGGCATTGCAAAACTGACAGTTACAAGCATGACTCTCAAAGGCAGAGGCATGATGGGACTTGTAGTTCACCAACAACTAGAGGGCCGTCAGTTTGACACCCCTGATGTAAACCAATTAATTTACATGTATTGGGATTTTGTTTAGCAAAGACATGGAGCAGAATACATTTTGCCCGAATTTTTCAATGAAATTTGATTTTTGAAATTTTTTTTACTGGACATGTTTAATAGCAAAAAGTCAAAAATATTGGTTTTTTTTTTTTCAAAATTGTCGGTCTTTTGTTTATAGCGTAAAAAAAAAAAAAAAGCACACGGATGATCAAATACCACTGAAAGAAAGCTCTATTTGTTGGGAAAAAAGGACACAAAATTAATTTATGTACAACGTTGCATTGTCAGTTAAAGTAACGCAGCGCCGTATTGCAAAAAATGGCCTGGTAAGGAAGTTGGGTAAATCCTCAGGAGGGCAAAGGGTTAAAGTGTTACTAAACCCTGGACCCCGCATTCACTATATCCGCTCTCCCCGGACCCCACATTCAATATATCCGCTCTCCCCGGACCCCGCATTCACTATATCCGCTCTCCCCGGACCCCGCATTCACTATATCCGCTCTCCCCGGACCCGGCATTCACTATATCCGCTCTCCCCGGACCCTGCATTCACTATATCCGCTCTCCCCGGACCCCGCATTCACTATATCCGCTCTCCCCGGACCCTGCATTCACTATATCCGCTCTCCCCGGACCCCGCATTCACTATATCCGCTCTCCACGGACCCGGCATTCACTATATCCGCTCTCCCCGGACCCCGCATTCACTATATCCGCTCTCCACGGACCCGGCATTCACTATATCCGCTCTCCCCGGACCCTGCATTCACTATATCCGCTCTCCCCGGACCCTGCATTCACTATCTCCGCTCTCCCCGGACCCTGCATTCACTATATCCGCTCTCCCCGGACCCGGCATTCACTATATCCGCTCTCCCCGGACCCTGCATTCACTATATCCGCTCTCCCCGGACCCCGCATTCACTATATCCGGTCTCCCCGGACCCCGCATTCACTATATCTGGTCTTCCCGGACCCTGCATTCACTATATCTGGTCTCTCCGGACCCTGCATTCACTATATCTGGTCTTCCCGGACCCTGCATTCACTATATCTGGTCCCGGACCCCGCATTCACTATATCTGGTCTTCCCGGACCCTGCATTCACTATATCTGGTCTCTCCGGACCCTGCATTCACTATATCTGGTCTCTCCGGACCCTGCATTCACAATATCTGGTCTCCCACAGTACAGAAAACATGGAATTGCAATTATTTTAGCAAATATAAACTGCTAAATCCCTTTTCTCATCAGCAGTATATAGCAGTCTTGTGACTTCTATCAGTATCTGGCCAAGCATTGGCAAATCTTGTAGGAGTTTTCAATCTCCTCTGACTGTCCTATGAGGCTGCATAACCCCTGACCCTCTGTCTGAACATCTGAACAGTACTGATTGGCCCGGTGCTGACCACATGCACCATCCGAAAAGAAAAGAGAAGGTCTCGGACAATACACACCAAACTAAGTATGTGCAGAGTGACTCCAAGGCTCTGTTTTATCAGCTGATGGATTGGGGACAGTAGAAGAAGGGGAGGATCAGAGAAGACAGAATCAAACAGCCTTTTTACACAATGCAGAGGATTAACCCCTTAGGTTCCACAGTGAGTATAACAAGCATGCTTTACTGTATCTACAGACTGATTGTACTGGTGTGACACTTTAAGCTTCGCTGGAGAAGTTCAGTTGAACAGATTGATCGATATTTTACTGCTGTCCAAAAATATGATTATTTCCTTCAAAGTCCACCGTGGTAAGAGACTCTAACCTCGATCGAGTTGGCAGCACGTTATTTTAGATCGTTCAATCTATTATAGATCTGGAAAGGTATAGAGGATAAAAAACCGTAGACTTCCCTGTGCTCCTGCTGCCAACGTACTTCCTTCTGGAATAAATGCTTCTCGACCCTCCAGAAGGCATCAAACGTCAAGACGGTTTCTCCTTGGCGTGGATCTTCTGATGAGCCACAAAATAGAATTCTTTGGTGAACCATATCCCACACTCCGAGCAGGCGTAGCGTCTTTCGCTGCCATGCGTTCGTTCGTGTTTCCCGAGAGCTGAACCTCTGCGCGTAACACTTCCCGCACTGAGAGCAGGAATACGGCTTCTCTCCGGAGTGGAGTCGCTCGTGCTCGCACTTTGTGCTCTTGAGACGGAACGATTTATGGCATTCCGCACAGGAATATGGCTTCTCTGCGGAGTGGGAGAGCTGGTGCCTGGCAAGGGAAGACCGGCGAGTGAAACATTTCTTGCAGTCGGAACACGAAAACGGCTTGTCGTCCGTGTGGATCCTTCGATGGTCAAGAAGGTCCGACTTCTGGATGAAACTTTTCTCGCAGTCCGGACAGGAGTGAGGTTTGTGGCCCGTGTGGACGGTCTGATGCTTCACAAGGGACGACCGGTGGGAGAACAGTTTCCCGCACTCGGAGCAGGAATAGGGCTTTTCTGAGGTGTGAGTCCTTTCGTGGACCACGAGGTCTGACTTCTGCCTGAAGCTTTTCCCACAGTCGGAACAGGAATACGGCTTCTCTTCTAGGTGAACTTTTTCGTGTCTGACGAGGACCGATTTTTGGTTGAAGCATTTCCCACACATGGAACATGAAAATGGCTTCTCGCCCGTGTGAACTCTTTCGTGTGTAAGAAGGTGGGCTCTCTCTCTGAAACATTTTCCACATTCCGAACATGAATAGGGCCTCTCCTTGTCTTGTTCGATGATGGGAGGTTCCTCTTCGTTCAACTTTCTAGGTTTTCCTTCAGGAAAATACATAAAAGGAGGCTCTGATGAAGGTTCCTGCGCACCGTCATGCATAAAAACAGTATACCAGGGATGTCAAACTGGCGGCCCTCCAGCTGTTGCGAAACTACAAGTCCCATCATGCCTCTGCCTTTGGGAGACATGCTTGTAACTGTCAATCTTGCAATGCCTCATGGGACTTGTAGTTTTGGCACCAGTTGGAGGGCCGCATGTTTGACACCTGTGTGATAGACCATCAAAAATAGAAGAGCGCTGCCCTGTGCTATCCCCTCGTATTTATAAAGCAAACATGAATAGGTCCCTTGTGAGGTGCTCTTCATATGATCCATGCACTGTGCTCCCCACCAGTGGTCCCACTCACTCTATGACTTTTGTGGATGCTCAGGGCCGCAGATAAGGGGGTACCACCTGTCCTCCTGTATGGGGTCCAGAACAGCAGGGGGGCCCAGGCAGCAGGATGAATTGGATGTGGGCAGGGAGGGTGAGCCTCATGGTGGGGGCGGGGAATTACTGGAACAGATCCCCTGTATGGCTCTCTCTGCAGCAGCTGAAAGCTGGCTTGTTCTCCTCTCCCTCCCGTTGGCTTTTAGATGCTTCAGAGACAGCCATACAGGGGATCTGTTCCAGTAATTCCCCCCGCTGCACCGATCACCCTCCTTGCACACCGATCACCCGATCACCCTCCTTGTGCACCGATCACCCTCCTTGTGCACCGATCACCATATCACCCTCCTTGCGCACCGATCACCCTCCTTGCGCACCGATCACCCTCCTTGCGCATCATACATTTCCCCCTGCTGTCCAGGCAGCCCCCCTAACCCACTAACAGTGCTGCTTCCCTTCCTCTTCTCCCCACTGGCAGCTGCAAGCACACAATAGGATTGTTCAGGATGGAGGGTGGGGGGGGGGGGGAAGGGTCCAGTAACTGTGTCGCATTAACCAGCCTCTTTCTGTCCTGAATGAACACAATGAGTGTGTGATCAGTACCAATTACTTATTGTGTTCATTCATAACTGAAGCATAGTAAACTGTGGGTTTTTTTTTTTGGGGGGGGGGTAGGGCATTGAGGTTGGCTGTATGGGGCTCTGTGGTTTCTAACAGCAGCCCTGTGGATGCTTATAATCGAAGAGTCAAACTCGCTTTGGTGGAGGAGATTTTCTGCTTCTGCTGTGACTTGTAGTCTGCCTCTGCCTGGCTGCACTCACCTGTCTCCATCCATCAATCGTGGCTATAGGATGCTCATATATAAGCAACGGAGGAAGGAGTTCATTTACTAAAATCCAAAGGATAAAAGTGTATATATTGAACTTACATTGATTTAAAGTGCTACTAAACCCTCAACAGTACAAAAAGTCTATATATGCAGTAAAGCATGCTTGTTATACTCACTATGGAACCTAAGGGGTTAATCCTCTGCATTCTGTAAAAAGGCTGCTTGATCCTGACTTCTCTAATCCTCCCCTGTACACGCTCAGTTTGGTGTGTATTGCCAGAGAGCTTTTCTTTTCTTTGGGAGGGAGCATGTGATCCAGTGTCCCCCTCTTATCTCCTGATAAGACATATCGTGTGGAGACACTCTGCACATGCTTGGTTTGGTGTGTATTGCTAGAGGGTTTTTTTTTTTTCTTGGGAGAGTGCATGTAATCAGCACAGACCCAATCAGCACTGTCCAGACAGAGGTAATGGGTTCTTCATCCTCCTAGAGCAGAAAGAAAACTCCTCCTGCAAGCTTTAACCAGTGCTCTGCTGGACACTGATAGAAGTCACAAGACTGCTATATACTGCTGATGAGAAAAGGGATTTAGCAATTTATATTTACTAAAATTATTGCATTTCCATGTTGTGTGTACTGTGGGAGAGCAGATATAGCGAATGCAGGGTCCGGGGAGAGCGGATATAGTGAATGCAGGGTCCGGGGAGAGCGGATATAGTGAATGCAGGGTCCGGGGAGAGCGGATATAGTGAATGCAGGGTCCGGGGAGAGCGGATGTAGTGAATGCAGGGTCTGGGGAGAGCGCATGTAGTGAATGCAGGGTCCGGGGAGAGCGGATATAGTGAATGCAGGGTCCGGGTAGAGCTAATATAGTGGAAGCAGGGTCCAGGGAGAGTGGATATAGTGAATGCAGGGTCTGGGGAGAGCGGATATGGTGAATGCAGGGTCCGGGGAGAGCGGATATAGTGAATGCAGGGTCCGGGGAGAGCGGATATAGTGAATGCAGGGTCCAGGGAGAGCGGATATAGTGAATGCAGGGTCCAGGGAGAGTGGATATAGTGAATGCAGGGTCCGGGGAGAGCGAATATATAGTGAATGCGGGGTCCTGGGAGACCAGATATAGTGAATGCAGGGTCCGGGGACAGCGGATATAGTGAATGCAGGGTGCGGGGAGAGCGGATATAGTGAATGCAGGGTCCGGGGAGAGCGGATATAGTGAATGCAGGGTCCGGGGAGAGTGGATATAGTGAATGCGAAGCCCGGGGTTTAGTAACACCATTCAGTGTAGTGCAAGTCAGTGCGGTACTTCCTGGTTCAGTTGTATTTATTAATATTTAATAATGAAATCACACTATGTGGCCTCCTTCTCTATTCCTTATGTATGAGCATCCTATCGCCACAACTGATGCAGTCTCCCTAGAACACCCCACTCCTCCAGACTGACATTACCCTTCGAGGCATTTTGATATTTGCAAAACTCCTCCTAAGGGTCAGCCCACTTGCATCAGGGCTGAAGGTCTTTGGGAGGAGTTTTGAGGCAGGATGCTGTGATGTCCTCAGAAAGTTATGTACAGCACCCTGCTGGAGCCTCTTAAAGAAGAAGGTACAGGTCTGTGAGAGCCAGAAATCTTGCTTGTTTGTAGGTGACCAAATACTTATTTTCCACCATAATTTGCAAATAAATTCTTTCCAAATCAGCCAATGTGATTGTCTGGATTTTTTTGTCATTTTGTCTCTCATAGTTGAGGTCTACCTATGATGCCAATTACAGGCCTCTCTCATTTTTTTAAGTGGGAGAACTTGCACAATTGGTGGCTGACTAAATACTTTTTTCCCCCCACTGTATATGGCAATATATTTGGGAAGAATATTGTTAAAATACATTTTTCTTCCATGTGGGAAGCCTAAAGAATTTTTACTTTAATGCATTCTATGCATGAAGGTAAAAATCCTTCAGCGTGCAGCACCCCCCCCCTCACCTGAGCCCGATCCAGGGATGTCCACGAGAGCAAAAGCTCTCCTGGGTCTCTGCCTCCTCATTGGCTGAGACACAGCAGCAGGAGCCATTGGCAATCACAGTCAGTGAGAAGGGAGCAGGGGGTGGGGCCAAGCAGCGCTCTGTGTGTCTCATAGACACACAGAGGCGACTTGGGAGGGAGCACGCAGGACCACCCCAGGGCAATCAGCAGGGGGGGGGGCACCGGCAGGGGACTCGAAAGTAGGAGGATTGGGGCTGCTCTGTGCAAAACCATTGCACAGAGCAGGTAAGTATAACATGTTTGCTTAGAAATCAAAATAATCGGAACCTTTACAATTACTTTAAGTCAGGGGTCTCCAAACCGCCCTCCAGGTGTTGAGGAACTGCAAGGCCCATGAGGCCTTGCAAGACTCTGACATCCATAGGCAAGACACCCAGAGGCATGATGGGACTTGTAGTACTTCAACAGCTGGAGGGCCATAGTTTGGACAACCCTGCTTTAAGCCAAAAGATCCATTCACTAAGCCACAGTGATTATTTTTGGCAATGAGAGCCAGTAACTGCTGAAAGTAACAGTCACCTGGCTGACACTCCGTGATGGACAGACACATGAATATCTGATTTTCTTAAGGATTTATTGTTTATTCCTCACCTGGGATGATCTCTGGAAGAATGTCCTCCCTCTTATATGGCTCATCACTCTCATACAGATCTTCCTCATCTACAGCTTCCACTTTAATAACAATCAGATTTCCATCCTGAATAATACAAACAATATTGTATCTACACGTTGGATAGGGGACCAACCTAAGCTGTTGAATTGTTCAACTATACCATATATATATATATATATATATATATATATAAAATATATAAAAACCATATATCACATTTTTATTGATACATCAAAAATTGTTAGGGGCAGAACACTCGGAAAAATAGGTTTAATCACAGTGATAAAAATCTAATTATTTTTCACACATCTCATAAAGTGGCCCTAATAGAAATGTTATTAGCACATGGATGAGTGATGGTGTTATGGGGGAGGAGGGGACCTGTGTGACTCTGGGATATGAAAGACTCTGATGTGAAGAATGGATGGAAGGATGATGTGAAGACAGGTTTCTGTTGTGAAGGGCCTCTGTTATGGGAGACCTCTGAGGTGAAGAGGGGGCTTTGATGTGATGGGGGGACCTCTGATGTGATGGAGGATCTCTGATGTGATGGGGGGACCTCTGATGTGAAGGGGCTACCTCTGATGTGATGGGGGATCTTTGATGTGATGGGGGGGACATCTGATGTGATCGAGGACCTCTGATGTGAAGGGGCTACCTATGATGTGATGGGGGATCTCTGATGTGATGGGGGATCTCTGATGTGATGGGGGATCTCTGATGTGAAGGGGCTACCTCTGATGTGAAGGGGCTACCTCTGATGTGAAGGGGCTATGGATGTGATGGGGAATCTCTGATGGAGGATCTCTGATGTGATGGGGGATCTTTGATGTGATGAGGGACCTCTGATGTGATGAGGGACCTCTGATGTGATGAGGGACCTCTGATGTGATGGGGGATCTTTGATGTGATGGGGGATATCTGATGTGATGGGGGATATCTGATGTGATGGGGGATCCCTGATGTGATGGGCGAGCCTCTGATGTGATGGGGCGATCTCTGATGTGATGGGGC